TTCCACTCTAACATTTATGTTTCTTGGCTATAAGAATTCAAATCATAATAAATTTGCATTACTTGTTTTATAAAATTAGTTATGGTTTGGGTTCAAATTGGTAAATTTCATTACAATACATGAAAAATATACAAACATTCAAATTGGACTGCAAAATTAAATCTGTCATGTCCACTAAGGCCTAAATTCTATATATTTAAACTGGCTCACAAACAAGCAAAATCTGGGTTGCCCAGGAAGCTTATCAAGAATGCAGATTCCCAAATGCACCCCACCACTGAAATAAAATCTCAACAAGGTCTTCAAGTACTCTATCTGCATGCGCAGACTGTTCGAGAATGGATAGTTGAAATTATTCGCTGTCTTTAGTACCTAAACTCCACCTTGTTGAAGAGCAATAAATTTAACTTGTGTTAGATCTAGCCACATTGATGTTTAGAAATTTGACTTTGTGTAATAATATAATACTAAATAATAAAAAGGGTATTGAGGAAAAGGAACAGCCTTTTACCAGGACCATAATCTTGAAGCATTAAATATATGTATATACTAGAATTAAGCTGTCACTGACCAAACAAAGCAAACAAACATTTGCCTTACTCCGTAAGTGCCCTGTTGATGCCAGTATCATAAAAGTCCTGTATAAATGTTATACAAACACTGCTTGAAATTGTAATAGTGTATGGGGATAGATTATTTTATTTCCTAGCCAAAGTAAAAAAATTGTTTCCCAATAGTATTAAAATAGGTCCTATCAGACTCTGATCAGAATTTTGGGGAAGTGCACACATACATACAGATCTTTCACTTATTCATGCCAATTAAAACATTTTTCAAGATTTAAATAACAACATTCTCTAAATTGCTATTTCTTTGTTTCCTACTCCACTATCCTTTCTAGCTAACAAGAATATGGGAAAGCTGCTTTCATACTCCAGCCATGAGTATGTTTCCCTTAACTGTCCAGTCCTAATCACCTGAGCACTTTCCTCTAACTGGGTATCTGACAAGGGTCGATGGAACAGAGGCATCTGAGAGCACTAATGCCACCAGAACTGCTCAATGAGCTGTTGATTGTCACTCTTTCTTTCACTACTTACACAGAGCATAACTTGAGATCCTAAATAAAACATTTTATTAGAGGTAAAGGATTAGCTGAATTCAGGGGCTAGGTCTCATTACAAAGCTATGGAAAACTCAAACAAGAAATCTCTCTTCTAAACAGGAGATAGAAGAGTTTGCTGAGATACATAGCACCAATGAATAGGTTCATGCACATTACTTTTTCCATTTGTGATTCCTGTAGCCAAACATGTTTACTGCGCTCAGTATATCTCTTGACAGTGCCTACATCGGTCATTATTTATGTTTCTCTACTTGGCGCCAATGTGTTACTTTGTGCATATGTTTAAAATACAAAGAAAATTTATTGCTTGGAAAAGTATCTATAAAAAAAAGATATTACCAACATGAACAATAATATATTTTAGGACACTTAGAGATACACTCAGTGCAGTTTTTGAAAATATACAATTTAATAATGCTATATACACACAAAAAATTAACTCTTGTGCTTCCAGGCCTTATGGTATCAAAACTCACATTCACCAACTCCCTACAAGAAATCTAATAATCATGTACTGCAAATGTACTAATAAAGAATTTAAAATGTACTGGGGACATGGCTCAGTGGGAAGACCCTGAGTTCATTCCCCACTATTGAAAACATTACAGGACAGAAATATTGGTCTGTCACTGTAAGTGTTGCCAGGATTCATGCACCACAGGGCTCCCCAAAAGACTGCTGTCACAATGATTTAACTACTCATGCAGCCTCCTCTAAAAGCCACAGTATCCTCAAACCCAGGAATATCACATGTCCATTTTCCTGGCCTTCCTTCATCCTCTTTTAGAGGCAATATTGCACACAGTTGAAGCCCAAATGTGTAAGTTGGTGTCACGGTCCCAAGACTATCTCTGTGATCCTGAACAAGTTATTTAACCTCTCTGAGGCTGTTTCTACATCAATAACTTCCATTGGCTTAGTTTTTCTAAT